TGATATTCTAATTTTATGACCAGCACCTGTATGATATACTGAAGGAAGATTTCTATATATTCAAAAAATATTAGAAAACAGGAAATGGGCCAAAAGACAAACTGTTATAAATTGAGTCAAACCTTTAGTTTTTATGCAGGTAGCCTTCTCTGACTGTGCTCGTATTTCCTGATGACAGCCACAGGAGGAAACGAACAGACGGTCTCTTCCGCCGCCCTCTCTGCCGATCCAGTGACAACCATGGCAGCGGAGGCGGGATGGAGCGCAGCTCTCCGCCTGTGACGGGTCACTTCAGCCCCAGAGATCTGCTGCTGGGGCGGGGCCAGGGTATGACCCCGCCTCTTGACAGCCCAGAGCGGCGGCGGCGCTCTGCCGCCGTGACCTTGACGGTGAACTGCCATGATTCGCTGCGTAGGCCAGAAGACACGCCCATACGACGCTCCAGCAGCGGGCAGCACAGCTTCAGCGACTCGCTCCGATCCAGAGCGATGGATGCTGAATCGCTGGCCCAGGTACAGGATCACTGACCAAATCTGTCTTAAGATCAAACTTTTCCTGAAAAACTATTTTCTAAACAAAAAAGGAGCTAATAGCACGGATTGGGGAGCATTATTCAGAGAAACTGTAGAAAACCACCAATCTTTAGTTGAAATGCCGCCATCTTGTTTGCAGGACATCGAGGAGACGGTGAATGTAGCTCTGGGCGAGCTCCGGCAGCTGGAGCGGCAGGGCTGCCGGCCGGCTCCCGACGTGGTCCTGGACACCCTGGAGCAGGTGAAGAACGGCCCTGTTGCTACCGGTTCCTCTGAGTCCCCCAGCCCCCACAGCACCCCCAGCACACCCGGAACACCCGGTACGCCTGGGACTCCTGGAACCCCCGGCACCCCGAGCCCCCTCAGTCCAGTCAGCCCCATTAGTCCGCTACCCGGACCCCCTGCCGGACCTCCGAGGCCGACCAACCCCTCCCCAGATGCCCTGGGCTCTTTCAAGCCTGTGGCGGCCGCCCGTATGGGCACTCCGTTGCGTCCCCCCGCCCTGAGACCGAAACCCGTGGTGCCCCCTAAGAGCAGCACCCCGCCTCTGCCCTCTCCGCTTGACAAATCCTGCACCATGTGAGCCAAATCAGGCCTACCCAGGCCAAAACTGGGCCAGAAGAGGAGATCAGGGTACTGCTTGCTGATTCTAATCAACGTGAAGGTAGAAAGGGTAGGAAAGGCTTTTAATGTAGTAATAAATTATAATCTATGACATGACCTATGATATGATATGCCATGATATTTCTGTGTCGTCAGGTTGGTGTGTACTCTCTTGATGTGTAGGAGTTTCCTTTCTCCATGTATCGAAGCATTAATCAAAGGTTAGCTTAAAGAACTGCTGGTGAGGCGGAAAAAGTCCCGTAAAAACGTAGTTTCAGTGATGTGAATGTTGTGTCCCTAAAGACACCCGATTGGCTGCTGCATCCGCCGACCGCCTGGTCTATAGGAGGAGGACTTGGACGGCACGACGGCGTGCGTTTCACTCAAATTTCCGCTGCTATGCTCACCCAGGGGGCCTCCCACAGAGGCGCTCGGTGACGGATAAAATACAAGACGAAAACTTTAATGAATGTGTTCAGCTTTTTAACGACTGTTCGGCCATCTTTACTGAATGTTCGGTGGGCGGCCTCACTGTTCCACGGCCTTCTTGTTTTGTTTTCTTTCTTTCAGGAGGCAGCTCCTCCTAAACTAGTCCTTGTTTTGTTTGAGCGTTTGTCGGCGTGCTGGTGTGTGTGTGCGTATGTGTGTGTATGCTCGCCCGCCCTCGTCGTGCTCCCCCAGTAAGTGCAGAATAGATAATTCATGCCTGCCTCTAGTGCCACAACACACGACTGCAAGTCGACAAAACCTGAGTGCAAAAAGCATGCCACCACCTCATCCGTACATCTGTATGTGTGTGTTACACTAAAGTCACTGGTTAACCTTAAATCCTCCAATAAGCTAACAGGGTCGGGGCTCTGTGTGTGAAAACGCCCAAAAAAAAAAAAAAAAAAAAAAACTACACTTGAACAGCACAGTGAATGTGGAGTGTGGTGTTAAACTGGACCAGGCTGTGTGTGCACGTGTTTTGGTGAAAGTGCCTTTTTTTTTTAGACCCTCATGTATTTTTTGGGAGGGGTGTGTGAATCCACTCACGCATGTCAAGACTGAAAGAGCAGCAGCACTCTGAATGAAGTTTATCATAAAAGTGTTTAGTAGATTCCCTGAATTAATGAATTCTAACATTTACCCATTGTGACATTGCACTTTGATGTATAGGATTGTGTCCTAGGCATGTAGCATCATGACATGTTGGTGCATTTTTTCCTTTAAAAAAAGGGGGGAGGGGTGTCTCTGAATGTGTTTGATAAGAAGCAGAAACGGTTTTCCGTCTGTGAGTGTTGCTGTATTTGAAAAACGGAGCCTCCTGAAGTCGAGCTCGTATAGCCAAATGGATTGTATCATTGTGATGTATTTATATTCTAAATCAATCTGAATAAATTAGCATTCAAGCCACAGGCAGACTGGAGGTTTCTTTGACTCAACTGGATGACTTTTAAACTCTAGAAGAAAATCAGCTGTTTATTTAGACGGTCTTAGTTTATTTGAAGGTCTCAAAGTAAGTAGAACCTGGATCGCAGACTGAGTCCTTCCATTCCATCCATTAGTCCTTTTCAGGGTCACAGTGGGAGGAGTCTATTGGCGCAAGGCGGGGTCCTCCTTGGACAGGTCACCAGTCCGTCGCAGGGCAACACAGAGACAACCATACACACACACTGACACCTAAAGGCATGGTTATCCTGCAGCAGTGTGTCGCAGTTAGCGTCTCGCAGATATTTTGATTAATGCCCAATATTGCTAGCCTCGTGAGACCATCCTGATCTCGCAAGCTTTCAAGGTTTCACTCGCAGATCAGTCTGGAGACTCTCCGTTAAAGAAAATTTGGAGCCGTTCACCAAACGAACGTCCAATCAGCATTGGCTTTGAGGCGGATTGAGGTGTGACGCAACGAGAAGCGCGACAGTACAGTCTAAAGAACATGGCGGCTTCAGTCGATGAAACTAGCGTTAGTGTGGCTATCGAGCAAGTTTTATCGGAATTACAGAGTATTTCTTTACTGAAAGAAGAGCAAAACACTGCTCTGGAGGCTTATGTTGCTTATTAGCTGAGCTAACGAGCCTTTACCTGCAGCAGCAAGAGTTGCCTGGCTTGTGGTTGTGTTTTCGTCGTCGCTCTGTTACTGTAGTACGTCATATGCTTCGTTGATATGATTGGTTTATTTGGCCCGTCTATCACCAACATAGGCCAATCAGCTAACCAGTATTTTGGCCCCTTCCCAAAATTACTTCAACGGAAGGTTTCCAGATGGATATGCGGAGCAAATCCAGCAAATCCATCTGGCAGAGTCAGGTTACAATATTGAAGCGTGGTCTGCTCTATGTTAATGCCAACTTATACTTCTGACGCATAGCTTCTGCAATTGTCAAATCTGTCTCTGTCTTCCCCCGCGCAAAAAAAATCCTGGGTATACGTCGGACGGTCGCAAACCCACGCAGACCTCAAGCAGAAGTGTGCAGACTAAAAGCAGCGGTGATTGGTCCTTGGTATGCCTTTCCCGCTGTCTGTGTTGTCGTCTTTCTTGATTGATTTTTTTATCCACAACTTTCTTTCCGCCGTCATCGTAGGTCAGTCTAAATGCAAAGTGGTCCCATACAGCAGACCTATAAAGTGCTGCTGGCGCGTCTTCCAACTCCAGTTCTTTCCCACTCGCCATACCCACACAATTCTCCACAACAACTGATTTTTTTCTGCTACACCCGGCTACGCTGCTTCGCTTCTTCTTCTTCTTGTTTACTACTGGTGGTTGGCTTTGGTCGCAGTACCGCCACCTTCTGCTCTGGAGTGTAAACGCTTCGCCTATGAGAAAAAGGAGCAGCGCATGAACCGAACGCAACACACGCAAACTGAACCGAGACAGTCGAACCGAACGGTTCGAACGGTTTTCATAAACCGTTCCATCACTAGGGACCATCCTCCGAAGTTCTTGCAAATTCTGGAATAGGCTCCCCCTAGTGCTTTGACGGGAAACTGCTGTGCATCCTTATAAATTCCAGACTGACGTTGCAGAAGCATTCCATCAAAAATAGTTTGCGACCAGACGCAAGCGACGTTTGATGTGTGCGGGTAAAGAAGAATAATCTGCCCTTTATTCCACGCCACAACGCAAGAGGGCCGATCAGGAACTAGCTGTGGGTCTAGATACGGCCGAGGCGGTGAAGAAGTGGGGGCAAGTTTGTGCGACAACGGAGGGACATGAGGGCCAAAAAGAGCGGGGATCCAGGTGGGAAAAGGGTCCCAGCGTTCTCCCACACCTTGCTCTGCTAGCTGGTCCATCTTCACCTGTCGTTTTCCACAATGGCGGTCAGAATAACAAAACAAGCTGGTAAGGAACTAAACAGGAAATACACACAGTGTAGAGCGGATGTATATTCGACCAATCAGAGGCCTCCTGTCTGCAGTCACCTACAGTTTTGGAGAGGAGCAGCAGAGTGTCTGTTTAGGGGACACATTTGCATTCACTGCGACATACATGCAGACAACCTGGTCTTAGAGTATAATCAGCCTTAAGGAGAATTTAGAGAAGCCAATTAACCTAACAGTCATGTTAGGACTGTGGGAGGAAGCCAGAGTACCCGGAGAGAACCCATGGATAATCAGGGAGAACATGCAAACTGCATAAAGACCCCGGGCTGGGAATCGAATACTGAACCTTGTTGCCCCAGACTAGGAGTTCATTCCAGGGTTGGTTTTCCAAGTCAAGCTACCGTAATCAGCATCAGCGTCTTACCTGTTAGCCACGGTGGAGGAGGTTTGATGGTTTGGGCTTTTCTTTGCAGCAACAGGACCTTGCATTCAGTGCAGGAACCATGAGCTCCTCTATAATTACTGCTAAGAAAATCTATTATCTTGTCTTAAAACATCAGATCAGATAAAGAACGACCTCAAAACTTTATTTGGTTTCTAAAACTGAGAACGATGAAACAAATTTAAAACTGAACACAGATCAAGTTTCTCTGTATTCTTGAAGAGTCAACATGTCAGATAAGCTCTGATCTGAAATCTGTCTGTTCTGGAATGGGATCCAGATGAGCGGTTGGACTTCGGAACGGTGCGGTTTATCCAGCTCAGCCCTTTGAGCCCGGCTTTAGGATGCTGAAGGGTTTGGAGTTTCGGAGCGAGCTGGAGATCTCCTGTAGGAAGGAGGTGATGTGCTGCTCCTTCTCGGACTTCCTCCCGTCGAAGATGACCACCAGGGTGAAGTGCGGCTCTGGCCGGGTCAGGTAGTATGTGCTCTGCACCTTGTCATCGTAGAACTGGACCACTTTGTCCAGGGCGTTGAGCTCAGTGGCGCGGTCGCTCATCATCATGATGACGTTTGGCCAGTGGGTGAGCGGCCGCTCCCCCGAAGGCAGCGACACCACGGCCGGGAACTGCTCCACCCCTTTGGGCGCCTCTCGGTACGAGTGCGGGTGGTGGTATCCGTGCCCCTGAAAGCTCTCTGAGCCGCGGTTGTCGAACACCAGGGACACATTGCTGGCGTCGTGCTTCCTGATGAAAGCGGAGATCTTACCGTAGTAGTCCGGCGCGGTCCGTGCGGTCAGGGTTCTCATGTCCCCCGGAGCCGTCTGCCGGCTCAGAGCTTCGTGGAAGTAGAAGCTGAACTTTGCCAGCAGCACTGCGTGGAAGCGCTGCAGCCACACATACAGATGAGGCGGCTGCACGGCCTTCTGGGACTGACCCCCGAACAGGTTCTTCCGGGTCTCCTTCTGCCTCTGGAAGAGCAGAGCCCAAGCGGTGAGTTTGGTGTGAGCGCTGTGGAGGCTCAGCAGGGCGGGCAGGAAGTGCCACTCAGACACCTGGGCCTGGCAGCGCAGGAGCTGGGTCACAACGTCCACCTCTGTCTGGAAACCCTCCTCCACCCGAGCCAGGATGGGGTGGTGGAACCTGCAAGAGGACGATGTTTAATGTGACATTTTAAAAACAAACTCAGAGGAACAGGAAGTTACATCTGGCCAACATCCAAACTGATTATAAACCAGCCTTTCCAGGAAGTTAGAGAAGAGAGCTCAGGGAGAGTTTAGAGGCTTGAAGCTGAAGCTGTTCCTCAGAGTTTCCAACACTGAGCCGTTAACTAGAGCAGTTTTTTCAATCCTGGTCCTCAAGGCACCCTGCTCTGCATGTTTTGGATGGTTTCTGAGGTTCAGCACACCTGATTCAGATGATTGCAGTCCAGCAAAGCCTGATAATCTGCTATCAATTGACAACAGGTGTGTGAAAGCTGGGAAACATCTAAAACATGCAGGGCAGGGTGCCTTGAGGACCAGGATTGAAAAACACTGAACTAGAGGCTCGGCTGAACACCTTGCAGGCAGCTCTTCTCCACAGCCTCATCATGAACCGCCATCCTCGTTCAGCTTCAGCCTTGATGATTCCTGAAAATCTAAACTCACGTTCTTCCATCTGAGAGGCCGTTTAGGTCAGAGGGTTTATGTTTGGACATGGTGGAAGGAACCCAAAGAAACTGCATGGTGCTGGCAGCATCATGCTGTGGGCTCGGTGGATTGCATCAATTTGGAGGACGAATAATGAGGGATGAATGTATGGAAAAAATCCACATTTCAAACCAACATCTAAAGTTTTTTTTTTCCACCAACGGCTCAAGAAAAATGTGTGGATGAGACTAAAAGTTAATTTAAAAGATAAACTAAATAATTAGTGAAAGAATCGACATGACCTTGTGTCCAAAAGTGCAACTATGGGGATGTGAAGGTATTTTCATCTCATCTCATTTGGGGCTTAATGTTTTTAAAGTTTAATAGTTTTTTTTTTTCTCTTCTGTGATATTTTTCTGATTTTCTGTCCATTGATTGGATGTTTTAAAAACCAGTCTGCCATGAAGACATAAAATGTTTAAAGGTTTATAGTTAAGTCTATAAAAAAGACAAAGATCAAACCGTCGGCTCATTTCTGTACATTTTTAAATGTTTTCCTCGAAAAGAGGATAGACTCTAGCTGAAGGAATAAGCTTTTCTAACTAAAAATAAACAAATAATTGGTAGAACGATCAGATAGCGTTGCAGAGGAGATGTATGAGCCATCCTGCAGCTGAGGCTCCTGGAACACCTTGACAATTCATCCAGCGTCTGCCTGACGTCCCAGAATCTCCTAAAACGCTGCCATACGCTGAACTTTCTATGGATTATTTCTATTCTGGGCGAATACATATGGGAGAATTATCCTGCCATTATGCAAGAGCACATAATTTCAATTTGAGAAAAGAATTTCATCTTCTTGCACTCAAAACTTATAATGCTCACACTCAAAACATGCGCTCTCTCTCAAATCTTTGTTTCTTCTCTCAGATTTAATGCTTCTTGCACAGATATTTTCTCCTCTCGCTTGCCTCCTTCTCTTCGCGCACAAACCGCGCTCTGCTCGAGTCTCAGTTACGCTCGCAAACCCGTAGGCTCTGCTTGCGGATTTATTTTGCTCTTTCTCAGATTGGATCGGATCGTCGCCTAGCAACCTTTCCAGCCAATAGAATGACAGCCTCAGCGCTCGTCTGGAACACGGCAGATACGCTGATATGCGTTGGAGAGAAGTTCTGGATAAGTTACGCAGAAGTTACTCAGAGGTTTAGGAAAAGCTAGACGCCACGACTGATGAGGAACTGATACTGAATGGATGTCAGCCATCAGATAACTGACCTGGAACTGACGGCCCACGGTTGAGCGTACGCTGGCAAGCTTCAGCGAGCTCATAACTTCTATTCCAATAAAGTTAAAAAACAATCCACTGGACTTGGTTTCTAAGTTTGAAGACGTTCCGCTCTCTATGGATTCAGAAAGGGGTCAAAATGTAGTCCATGAATGCAACATTGAACGGGACATCTCTCCATGCTGCTGCAAGCTGTCAATCATGTTTCCCCGCCCACTCCCGTCAGATTGGGGTCAAAATCTGAATGTGAAAAAAACTGATTTGAAAGTGTAAAAAAAAAAATCCTGAAACTGAAAAAGAAATAGGAATTGAAAGGGATTTGAAAATATAAAATCTAAAACTGCGATTAAAAAATGAAATAAAAAAAATGAAAAAGTGTATTTAAAATACTAAACTGAATTATGAGTTTTTTGAAGCTAAGGGGAAGAATTTAGATTAAATTCTTATTATTTTATGTTTCTTTTTTTAGTTTTTCGATTATAAGGTAAATATTGGACATTTAATGTCAACATTCAAGTTTTAACTACAATGTATAAGTTTACAAACATTTTGACCCCTTTCAGACCCCATAGATTCCCATCCAGGAAGATTTTTTCAATTCATAATGTCGGAAAAAGTGTTGAGTTCGAGGCTTTATAGGGTGGAGCAAAAAAAACCAACTTGTTTTGGCTTAGAAATCATGTAAATTAAACATGACTTAAACAAAACGGAGCCATAACTTATCCAACGTATGCTAGCGTTTCTGCCAGATCTTTCCTACGTCAGGCACTCGCTGGTTTAAATGGTCAGGGTGTGAAAGCGGCATGAGGGCATCACCTCCAGCCTGCATGCAGGACAGCGATGAGAAGTTTGTGCTCCTGCAACCGAACGCCTTTCTAAGGAAGAGGATTAGGGCCACTGAAAAAAACTAATTTTTATAAAAAAAATTCAGTTTAGTATGGGAAAAAAATCAGAATTCTGACTTTTTTCCTCAGAATTCTGAGAAAAAAAGTCAGAATTCTGAGAAAAAAGTCAGAATTCTGAGATTAAAGTCAGAATTCTGAGATTAAAATCAGAATTCTGGAAAAAAAAAGTCAGAATTCTGAGAAAAAAGTCAGAAATCTGACTTTAATCTCCGAATTCTGAGAAAAAAGTCAGAATTCTGAGATTGAAGTCAGAATTAAAATCAGAATTCTGGAAAAAAAAGTCAGAATTCTGAGAAAAAAGTCAGAAATCTGACTTTAATCTCCGAATTCTGAGATTAAAGTCAGAATTCGGAGATTAAAGTCAGAATTCTGAGTTTAATCTCAGAATTCTGAGATTAAAGTCAGAATTTTGACATTAAAGTCAGAATTCTGAGTTAAATCTCAGAATTCTGAGATTAAAGTCAGAATTTTGACATTAAAGTCAGAATTCTGAGAAAAAAGTCAGAATTCTGAGATTAAAGTCAGAATTCTGAGATTAAAATCAGAATTCTGAGATTAAAGTCAGAATTCTGAGATTAAAATCAGAATTCTGGAAAAAAAAAGTCAGAATTCTGAGAAAAAAGTCAGAAATCTGACTTTAATCTCAGAATTCGGAGATTAAAGTCAGAATTCTGAGAAAAAAGTCAGAAATCTGACTTTTCTGAATTCGGAGATTCGGAGATTAAAGTCAGAATTCTGAGTTTAATCTCAGAATTCTGAGATTAAAGTCAGAATTTTGACATTAAAGTCAGAATTCTGACTTTTTTCACCATACTAAACTGAAACTTTTTTTTTTTTTCAGTGGCCCTAATCCTCCTCCGTACCGTTCTGCTGACACGTCTCTCAGGGAACTCTTTCTGCTTAAGCAGGGTTTTTCTTTTCTTTTCTTTTTTTCCTCCAACCTCAATGTGTCACTTTTCTATTGGAGCTTCTTCTTCTTCTAAATATAAAGGGAACATATTTAAAGATGCAGAGGTAGTAAATCATTTAAAGCGACACATGCAGCAAGAAGCCAAACTCTCCCACGTGAGTTTACAGCTTTGTCCTTAAACTTTCATTTGCAGCCTGATCTGAGCGTGAAGGTTCCCTGTGGGGGGGATACACACTTGGAGCTGTACTTCTGCAGGGTGGCCTCCAGCGTGGACACCAGCTCCTCGGAGTTCACGCTCTTCTGGCTGCTCAGAGAGTGCAGCTTCTCGTACAGGTCGGCCATCTCCATGCGGGCCTGGGTGAAGTGGCACAGCTGCTCGGACAGGTGAGAGAGGAGGTCCTCCAGAGAGGAGGAGGAGGTGGGCTGGCTGTGGCGGCCCACCGTCGCCACCTTCTTCAGCTCGTTGTACAGCGAGGTGTAGACGGTGCGGATGGAGTCTTTCCGGCTGAAGAAGGACTGGCCGCCTGCAGAGGGTTGAGCAGAGAAAAACTGCTGATGTGGACAGACTGTCCGCTCTCCTAATTCAGCTGCTAGACTGCCACCTGCTGGCGGATTTCAGTTCTTTTATTTCATCATCTACAGATATTTATGTTTAACTGTTTTGGCATATTTAAAAGGTCTGAATTCATCTGACTAATTTTATTCCATGAGCAATAAAACTAAATTAGAACCTATATGATACACAACATACGATAATCCTTCATTAACACTAGTTTTGAGTTTTCCTGGTATCACAGAACCACAGATAGAACAGTTTACATGGGAAGAAGAACCAACGATGCTGATTAATGATTAGAACCTGATTAACTGTTGAAGCTGAATCTCTTGTAGGTGAAGTTTACCAATTTCCATAAATAAACACAAATGAAAAAATATTTTTTTAATTGATTAATCCACTCGATTATTTTTTCTGATGAATCAATTAATAACCGGATAGCCAAAGGTTCCTTACAGAAGACTTTTTGCAAATTAAACCAAGTGAAAATAAAACTTTTCCACTTTAGAGAGTTCTGGATAGAGCAGATTGACGGATGAAAAAGATTTTTATCTTAAATACAAGATGTTTATATATATATATTTTTTTTACAATCTTGGTATAATTCCTGCTCTAAGTGGGTCGTTCTATCAGCTAAAGGCTGTTTTAGAGTCTCTATACTTAATTTAACCATTAATAAATTAATAAATTAGTTGATGATTATTTTAATAATCGATTAATCTGATTGTTTCAGCCCTAGTTGAGTTACCGTAATATCTAATCTATAAACATAAATTTTCACCTAGGGCTAAAACAATTAATCGGATTAATCAACTGTTGAAAAAATCTTTTATAAATTTAGTAATTGATTAATTGTTAAATGGAGTATAGAGACTGAAAAACAGCATTTAGCTGACAGAGCGACCCAATTAGAGCAGGAATTATACCAAAATTGTAAAAAGATTAAATTAAATATCTATAAACATCTTGCATTTAAGATAAAAAGAAGTTTTTCTCTGTCAGTTTGCTTCATCCAGGCTCCTCTATTGGAAAAGGTTTAGTTTCACCTGGTTTCATTTCATAAAAAGTCTTTCGTATAAACTCGTGTATACAAAAAGATAATAAAATCTAAGTCTATCCGATTATTAATCTAAAAAAAATAATCAACAGATTTATGGATTTGCAATCGTTAGTTGCTGCCCTGTTTCCACCTCACAGCTGAATTCTATGGAACCACATAGAACATAAAAGCAAAACTCTTTTTCTACAGAACTGATCTATAAATAATCAACACAGTAAATGCAAAGTAAAAAAATCTAGAACTGATCAATCCTTAAGATAATAACTATTAATTAATCATTATTGTGGCTTTATTTTATAAGAAAGACTTATCTTTTATAAAAGATTGTAAAAAATATTGGCATGCCATGAAAAAAAACTACAATAAAAACAATAAATCAACCGAAATATTTAAGTTCATCATTTAATCTACGTGTAACAGACCTCCAGGTGTCTTTACAATATGTTCTATTTATTAAATTTTTTGTACTTGTTTTCTAAAACTGTTTCAACGTTTGTTTTCTGAGCTGTTTGTCGTTTAACTGTTAATAAAGCTCTGAAAAAACTGAGCTGATGGTAACAGTGTAATGATTCAGAATCAGAGGTTTTCTAATTAAATAACATCACCATATTATTATAGTATGGAGATTAATTAAGTTGTTAGACTGGCTGGAATTGAACTTTAGAGCAAGTTTTAGTATTTTAGAAGTTTAGATTTTCAGACCAATGGAGGATTTTTTTATTTATACCATTTAATGCAAAAAACTATCATTATGACTTGGGTACAAATAAAAGAAAACCATATTATTTTTAGACTAGTTACCTCTGGTTTAACTTTTCCTCCTCAGTATTTAGAAAACAGTTTCTGATTGAGCTTTTCTTTATAGATGGAAAAGGGAAACTTCTCCTCTGCTGCATTTTAATGAGTCGCTGTCGCCTTAGTTAAAGGAATAGTACACCCAAAACATGATTAGCCTTCATTTTCTACTCACCCCCATGCTGAACAACACTCTGGAGTACTTTTTTGATATCTCAAATGCATCTGGAGATCTGGGAGGCTTCTTGCTGTCTGCTGACATTCAAATAATGGAGGTCTATGGCGCCCGAGGCAGAAAGGTCCATAAAAGTCCACAAAAAACGTGTCAATATTCCTCCATACTGCTCGTCCAATGTATTCCAAGTGTCCTGAGTGGGTAGCGTCCATAATTTACTCGAAACGAAGTCATTTAGAATGTTTTTAGAGCATAAACAGTAGTGTATAGGATTTCCTGAAAGCGAGTTCACGAGTCTACGGAAACCGCGGCAGACCAAACCAGATGAAAGTGCGCATTCAGCGTCTGCTCTGCCGATAATGCAAGCGTAGAAGAAGAAATGTGCTGTTTACCTGTGCAAAGAAAGAAACAACGAAAGAAAAATGTCTGAGGACTTCAGTGTTGAGGAATAGCATGAGTTCTTTGCCGAGCTGAATGCGCTGGTTTGGTCTGCCTCGGTTTCCGTAGACTCGTGAACGCGCTTTGAGGAAATCCTATACACTACTGTTTATGCTCTAAAAACATTCTAAATGACTTCGTTTCGAGTAAATTCTGGACGCTACCCACTCAGGACCCTTGGAATACATTGGACGAGCAGTATGGAGGAATATTGACACGTTTTTGTGGACTTTTATGGACCTTTCTGCCTCAGGCGCCATAGACCTCCATTATTTGAATGTCAGCAGACAGCAAGAAGCCTCCCAGATCTCCAGATGCATTTGAGATATCAAAAAAGTACTCCAGAGTGTTGTTCAGCATGGGGGTGAGTAGAAAATGAAGGCTAATCATATTTTGGGTGTACTATTCCTTTAACTTCACTATCAATCAGCACATTAGTTCATAACATTTTGCAACCCTATAATGGATGTCCAGTCTATTAACATTTCTCTATCTGTAGAATGGGGCTGTTTGATGTGTTTTCTTCTCAGTTCAGAGGCCCCCTGTCTGTCTTTGCCTAGGGCCCCAAATTCCCACAATCCGCCCCTGGCTGGATGGAGGGTGTCACAAATGGACCAAACACTCTATAAAAATGCAGCTTTTAAGTTCAAAAGTGTTCAGTCATGTGATGGCTGCCTTTCTCTAACAAAAACACAGTTTTCAGTCGAAAAAACAAAACTTAAGATGTTTTTTTTCCAGAGTGAATCCTCCCTATAGTTACCTATCTTCTGCCCCAGGAAGGTCAGGTTGTGATACACCTTCTCCGCGGCGGCCAGGTGAGCCAGCGCCGCCAGCAGGGAGCTCCAGATGGCCCCGGAGCTCCGGCTGCTGTCCTTCTCCTTCTCCACGTAGTCCTTGGCTCGGTCGAAGGAGAACATCCCGAGCTGAGCGAAGAAGCTCTCCAGGATGGCTCTCTCCCTCGGAACGGGCCGCAGCTCCTCCACCTCCGCCATCAGCTGCTCGGTGTTATTAGCCTGCAGGATGAGGCTTCCTCCTCCAAAAGCACGAAAACTTTATAAACCTATAAAGTTTACATTTATACCAACACGTAAATATTCATAATAAAGTTTTAAAAAAGGCGTTTAATACGTGCATTACAAATCTATATGATCTTTTGAAGCGCTAAAGCTAGCTAAAAGTTCGTTTTAAGACCATTTTGGTTTAACCGGATGTAAATATTACGGAAAGCTAAGAGGGACATAAGTAACCCTAAAACGTCGGTGCGGTCGCCATATTGGAAGAGGACGCGGCAGCCATTGAACCGAACCGTTCAGTTAAAAAGGGAATGTACAGCTCTAAACTGATTAAAATTCACATGTAGTTCGAACAGTTTTTAACTTCAGCTTTACAGTTCAAATATTTGTAATTGTATAATTACTTTGAAAGGTGGGTTTTAAGGAGAAAAGTCAATTTTATTCACTTTAAAAATCATTTAAAAAAGAACATTATGACATAAACACAATTTTTAGAAAGAACCATAACTTTGTCCGTCTTACTTTTAAGCTATAAATATGTTAAACTTAACATTTTTCTATATTCAGTTCAAATCAGTTTATTTCTACAGCCAATCAACACTTTCCAGTTCACCAGATCAACCAGTCAGATTTATCCAATGTTTTCTAAGGAAAACAGGTTGATTGCATCCACTCTTTTAACCTGACTCCTCCAGATGGATTAGCTCCGCATATCCATCTGGAAACCTTCAGTTGAAGTAATTTTGGGAAGGGGCGAAAATACTGGTTAGCTGATTGGCCTATGTTGGTGATAGACGGGCCAAATAAACCAATCAGATCAACGAAGCATATGACGTACTAACAGAGCGACGACGAAGAGGAGCCAATTGATAGATCAAACTCTTGCTGAAACCAGTCGGGAGAAGAGCAAAAACATCTTTTCCTCTGAGAAAAGCCTCCAGAGCAGTGTTTTGCTCTTCTTTCAGTGAAGAAATACTCTGTAATTCCGATAAAACTTGCTCGATAGCCACGCTAACGCTAGTTTCATCGGCTGAAGCCGCCATGTTCTTTAGACCGAACTGTCGCGCTTCTCGTTGCGTCACACCTCAACCCGCCTCAAAGCCAACGCTGACTGGACGTTCGTTTGGTGAACGGCTCCAAATTTTCTTTAACGGAGAGTCTCCAGACTGATTAGCGAGTGAAACCTTGAAAGCTCGCGAGATCAGGATGGTCTCACGAGGCTACCACTCTTTGACTCGAAAGCAATTTTTCATTGGTTTATTAGCCACCATAGTTTTCAGACGCTTAATTCAATTCACTCTATTCATACAGCGCCAATTCACAACTTATGTCATGTTAAGATGTTGTAACAGTTCTTCAAATGGACTAAGAGAATCTGATCCCTAACATTCTAAGCTAGGCTAAACCTGAACAGGCTAAAGAGGGTCCAGTTTTAAACATTAGCCATTAAAATAACATATCTGTGTGCCGAGTAATTGGACAGAAAGACGTCACCCAGATAGCCCAACATTCCACTCTAGAAGGTCTTAGTTAATGGCTGACTTTATGAGTGCAAGGTTCTGGTTCAAAACTATGACACCTCCACCACCAGCACCACTAGCATTTTGAAACAAAGCAGACCTTTCCAGTTTTCTTATTATCGTGATTTAAAATGTAACACATAATAACATGGAAATGACCAGATAAATATTCTGATATATTTGCTAAACCATTGATGATTGGTTAAGCTGAGAGGTTTGTATCAATTTACTGCTGAGAAACCTTTGATCCTCTGTGTTACAATGAACCATTTAAAAATTTTCTAAATTTAATTTTGATCTAGCATTTATGGGATGTTTTGGGCTACAATGCATACATTTAGAAATCAGATTTTTGTACAAATTGTACACTCTGATAATACACAAGTGCACACTGAGATTTTTTCACAAGGATGCTAGACTATCTGCAAAACCATCAACAACAACCTTCTCCCATGGATCTACAACACATCAAAGAATTTAAGATTTTCTTTTTATGTCCACAAGTTAGACTTTATCTTTGATATTTTTGTTTTTCTCTAAAGGTTTGTGGATTTTTTTTTTTTTTGGCTTATCCCACAGAGCCAGAGCAACACAATTATATCCGCTTTACTGCGATTGATTCAGATCATTTGAATTAAAATGTCTTTGCAAGGAGAAGCCTAGAATATTCTGTGTGGAGCTTTATTGGAAAGATTCTTAGAAAAAAAAGAGAGACTCTGTATTCATCAGTGGTATTAGTGACAGCCAAAAGGAATGTGGGTGGCACTAAACTGGAATGATTCTGGGAAAATAAAAGAGTCCCTCTGTTTATCAGTGGCATCATTCTAATGCTGGTCTCACTAATCCATAGATTTTGGTTGTTTAGATGTGTCAAATTGCCAGAGGAAACTAAAGCGAATATTCCTTGCATAAAATGATTTGTTCAAAGGCTCGTCTTGCTCTGTGAATCTCTCTTAGTCACTTTGTCCACTTCACAATGCATTATATCCAGATGAATCATTAAGGAATGACTCTCAGTGCGTCTGGTTGCCTTTATGTAACTCCCATCCACCCCTTCCTCCTACAGTGGCATTGGGCTGCCACTGTGCAGCCCTCGTGGAGCAATCAGGGGTTATGGGTCTTACTAAGAGTGGCCGTAGCTTTTGAACTCACAACCTCTAGACTCCAAGCCCTATGCCCTAAACACTAGACCGCCACTCCCAAATTCACTCTTGGCCGATGTTGGAGCTTGGCCTGTTTTCCAGTGTAGTCCTGTTTCTCTGACTGTGACTAACTGGATGTGCTCTCTTCATCCTCTGACATGGGAGCTGGCTCGGAGCTCGTCTGCCTGGCTGTGTGTTTCCTGGACGGGGCCGCCTTTTACAGCTTCTTTTTCTATGTCTGCTTCTGTCTCCTTGAACCCCAGTGGGCCTCAGCAGATGGCCGCTCACTCCGAGCCTGGTTCTGCTGGAGGTTTCTTCCTGTTCAAAGGGAGTTTTTCCTCTCCACTGTCGCTACAAGCATGCTTAGTGTGAGGGATTGCTGAAGAGTCAATGAGTCGATGCAATCAGCTGGTTTTCCTTAGATAGAAAACTTTGAATCAATCTGACTGGATGATCTGGTGACTGGAAAGTGCTTTGAGATGACATGTGTTTAGGATTTTCTAGATCCATTAATCCCAGTTTATCATGGAGGCCATGAAGCAGGAAAGAAGCGCAGACCATCATGCTACCACCACAGTGTTTGACCGTAGGGTTACAGTGAGCCTTGTTAAATAAGATAATGTTTAAGTTGGAATCATCAAGGTGTTTCTGCCGAATGCAGAACAGAACTTTGAGTTAAATTATAGTTTGTTTAGAGACTCTGGGATTCTGTTTGAGGAGTCCGGTGGGTTTGGATCACTTTGTTTTCTCTTAATCAATAAAATTACCATTTAAAAGTACATTTTTACCCCCTTTCTTTTCTCTTATGTAATTATCCTGTTGGGTATTAAACTTTCTCTGATTTATAACAGCAAGTTTTGATGCCACAGAGTCATTTAATTTATGCATTTTCATTTTTACCTATATATTTCATTATATACCTGTTTGATGAAGTTTGAGTAAGAGAGCATGCTAATATCGCAGTATTCGTTATTCTACACTGTCAAAATGAGAAGTGGTCAGAGTTACAAACAATCTCAAGTTGGACACGTGAAGGAATATATTGAAAGTACTTGTTTAAATCCTTTGACCTGTTTTAGGAATCTGATTGGGACCAGGCTTTCCCTGATAAGCATGCGTAGAATTAGAAATTTTGCCTAATTTTCTTCCTTTTTCCAAGATTTCTTTCTTAGCAGCTGTGAGTAAACATGGCCGTAATGATGTGGTTAGAGTTTTCACGGCTCTTTCTTTTATAGATCTCGTGGATGTTAATAGAATCTCCCATTTATCTGCCTCCAAGGGGGAGGATCCTGGTTCCATTTAAAAACATTCAGCTTCTTCAAAAAAAAACTCAAACTTTCTCTGATCTCCATCGACTCATTTCGGCCCGGTATGTAAAATTTCTCTTGATTCTATATTAGCTTAAGGTTCAGCATTACCTTTGCAAATATTTTATTTTTTCTATGATATCAGTATCGGTTGAAACATCTCTTGGATATTTGAAAAGAGTTATGGCTTCTTTTACAAACACAGTGTGTTTTCCTTCCTAATCAAAGCTTCTTTTCTAGCTTTTAGATTAATCCTCCTGTTTGAAACACTGGAGGGATTCAAGGTTTGCTTTCTCTGCTGCTCTTTCTTGTTCTCTTTATAGGAAATATACGGGACCCTACGGTCACATCTAGCAGTAGAATTTCTAACCCAAAGCTGATTTCTGTGTCCTGGTGATATTTAACTAAAACATACCTACCAATCAGCCTGTTTGTATAAAGATGTGTAGCTTCAGGCTAAAATTATCCACTTCTTCTTTATGGCATGAGCCATATTCTAACTTTAAACTTCTGATTTAGTATTTATATGTTTGTTTTTTTATTTGACCACATTTTCTTTACACTTAAACTTGACAAGGCCGAGGTGTAGCATGTTCTTTTTTGGCTATCATGACTGCATATGAAGGATTTGTCTAATTATCTCTTTCCCACTGGCCAAAAACAAAATTTAAACCCGGGATTATAGTGGCAGTGGGAAAAGCTCACTGATGCGTGTCTACTCGGGTCAAACGACTCGGCAAGCGACCCGTGTTAAAATCTCCTCGGCTCTGATTGGCATGCTGTGGGAACACCAGAACCAGAATGACCTACTAAATTACCTGACACTATTGAACTCAACGTACGGACGTCAACACGCCGCGCCAGTCGCTTCTGATCTAACAGGCAGATACAACTCTGTTTACATTGGATAAACATGGAGCAGCTCTGATGAGAGGGATTCAGACAGATAATAGAGAGAAACAATAATTAATACTGACTACACCCTGCCTCCTTCCATGTTGCTCTCCATTGTTTACTTCCCTGATTTCTGTTGCACTGGTAACATCAGCAATGCTAACCCAGCCTGATGGTTTCACCAGACAGGCAACAATGGGACAGAGGCCACGCAGCTGCCAGCAAGGGGTTAGACCAGCTTTATTAGCCAATAGGAAGGGGGCCAAATGATGATTGTTAATAGGTCGACCCATGTTTGAAAAACACGCTTTAACGCGGTATTTTCTGTAGGAAAGAGGCTCTAGAGCA